TACAGACGCTTTTTTCCTCCTCTCCTCCCTATCTTATCCCCAAGGCTCTTTGTCTGTCTTTGGGTGTACGGCGCTTCTGCATTTTTTCTGGAAACTGGAAATTATGAAAAATGGACCTGGTCAGTTGGTCTCTCAACGCGATTGACAAGATTTTTTTCAATGATGAGAACGGGAGAAGGGGCTCCCGGATGCCCCTCTGGGACAGAGCCAGCTGGGCATATCATGGACTCCTGGAAACAGTGGAACCTGATCTGACTCTCTTAACTGTCTGTAGAGGATTCTGAAGACGTCTGGATATTCGTGGTGTTGGTGTCAGGTTTCTTGCTTTTTGGCCTGAGTGGTTACCTGGCTTACCGGAAAATTAATGAACTGTCGAGGAATACTGGCTCAATCCTGGAGCTCAGGGATGGATTACACCGAGCTGTGAACGCACAAACTCATAATTGTCGAGATGAGTCGTAAGCTTGGAACTTTGGCTGAGATTCAGACTCTGGCACAGAAGGTGGATTCGATCAAGGAGAAAGTTGACATATTAGCACGGATTGGGTTAGATTAATTACGCCATTATTGGATTTAGAGGGGCTGAGGACCAACAGCTTGTGAATGTGTGTGTGAATGGGTGAATGACTGATTGTGTTGTAAAGTGCATTGGGGGTTCGAGGACTCTAGAAGGCGCTATATCAAATACAGACCATTCACCATTTAACAGACTTGGTAAATAATATGATCCTGAGAGGAGGAATCATGTGATGACAGGGAAAGGCTGTAGCTTGTTGGCAAACCCAAACATGAAATCAGAGGGCTGAGTGATGAGGAAGTGTGAAGCAGCTATGATGAGAATCCGCTTCTTTAAATCCAAGACCATGGTCTTGAGTCGGAAAAGTGTAGAATGCCTTCTCCGGGTCAGGGATGAAGTCCTGCCTCAAGGGTAGAAGTTTAAGTATCTCAGGTCTTGTTCACGAGTGAGGAAAAGATGGCGCACAAGATCGACAGGTGGATTGGTGCTGCGTTTGCAGTGATGTGGGCGCTGTACCGATCTGTCGTAGTGAAAAGAGAGCTGAGCCAGAAGGAAAAGCTCTCGATTTACCGGTTGATCTACGTTCCTACCCTCACCTATGGTCACGAGAATTGGGTAGTGACCGAAAGAATGAGATTAGTTTTCTGCGCGGGGGCTGGGCTCTCCCTTAGAGAAAGGGTGAGAAGCTCTGTCATCAGGGAGGGGCTCTGAGTAGACCTGCTGCTCCTCCACATCGAGAGGAGCCAGTTGTGGTGGCTTGGGCATCTGGTCAGGATGCCCCCTGGAAGCCTTCCTGGTGAGGTTTACAGGCGTGTCCAACGAAGAGGAGACTTAAAGGGAGACCCAGGACACACTGGATGGACTATGCCTCTCGCCTGGCCAGGCAACGCCTTAGGATTCCCTCTCAGGAGCTGGCTCAAGTGGCCATGGGAAGAGAGGTCTGGACCTCCCTGCTTAGAATACTGCCCCCTCAACCCAACTTCGGATAAGCGGCCAAAAATGGATGGATAAATTACAAACCTAGGAAAGCTAAAATGAGCACAAACAAAACATATTAATATTGTACTTATAGGCCAATGGGATGATGTTTAGGTCTGCATCCTGAATCCTTATTTGTCTCTGAGCTCTCGTGATTCAGAAAACTCCAGATGTTGACTCTTGTGTGAGTGCTTTTGCGGTCAGATGCCCTTATTTTTTTAGCTTCATAAGAGAAATGTTTTCTTTGTTTCTTCTGAGGCTCCATCATAATAAACACGTTACAATAAATGCTAACCAGGTATAGCTTGTCTGTTCTGAGGTGTAAATGTGGATTGCTGTAAAGTGTGACTTTGTGAGACTTCAAGTCACCGGTCTGGATAGTAGCCGGTCTGGGTTATGCAGGACTTTGGATGTGATGCGCTAAGGAAGGTGAAGCCAATGGAGGTCTTGAAGAGACAAGAGTGATGTGGTCACAGGAGTATGTGAGGTTTAGGAGACAGGCAGCAGAATTCTGGATGTCTAGAAGTTTGGTGAGGGTTTTGGATGGGATACCATAAAAGATGTTATTGCCGTAGTCCAGTGTTACCTAATGTTTTTGTTTGAGGACCCCCTTGCTTGTGTCCAAAACAAGCCAGGACCCTCAACCCCAACTCCTACATGTGATCATTTGTCATTTTTATGCAGACATACAGAGTTATAACTTATACTGTGTCATTGGGACATACATGTAATTTTTACAAATAAAATCTTGCTAACCTCACAACTTACAACAATTTAAAAATATGAAAAATTTATAAATTTCCCTTAAATAACCATAATGATATTGTGTGTCATATTTTATCTGATTTAAAAACTAGCTAGTTAGTTATGTAGTGTAATATAAGTTTCAGTGGGAGCACGGGCAGAATATCTTACCCTCCAGTCAGGACCTAAAAACAGCACCAGTAGGCAGCAGTTTATCAAAAATATCCTTTATTAACACAACCAGCAATAAAACACTATGGCCGAGTTCCTTCACGATAAAACCAGCTGTTCAGCATAAGTAAAATCAAGCAAGCGGGTACTTAGCTGGCCCAGTCGATGCGACCCCCTCCCCGGGGTCAGAGCCTCCGACACCGTCCAGCGCCCCGGGGTTCAGCTTGCGAGGACGGCGGGTGAGTCCACGGCTCAGGTCTGGCTGCCAGAGTGTGCGGCGGCTGATGTCGGCGTGGTCTCGGCACCCAACTACTCCCAGCCCTCACTACCTAAAGAAGGCGTCAAGCCTCCCCTCCTAGCGCTGGAACACTGCCCACCTACTCAGCTGTCTTCATCGCCGGTAGTCCTAACCAACTGCGAACGATCCCGCCCCCAGAACCGGGTGCCACAATGACAGGTCGACCACACACACACCTTGGTAGATCTGCCACCCTTTTCTCCTCTCCAGCCTCATTACGCCTGACAAGCACCAGCCAGCGTCCAGTCGCCACGCCCCCAGAATCTGGCAACCCCTGTCTTCTGTCTTCCACAGTAGCTTACTGTATGTATAAAATGCATGTTTTAAATGCATTTGTTCCATAGAAATCCTAACTTTTTAAGGGATTTGAGAATTGAATTAGTGTTGAATTAGACACAAAATATGTGTTTTTAGCTTCAAGGGCAACCTGCTGGCTTGATTATCACCTGTAAGTCACTTTGGGCAAAAACGTCTGCTAAATACACAAACATAAAAGATAAAGAAAAACATGAGGCCACACGACTGTTGCTGGCATTTTAGATAATCCAGACAATCGACCCGTCTGGAAGGTTTTCAAACTTCTTTTTTCCTTCTTAGAGGCTGCTGAAAATAGGTCATCAAGACAATAAATAAATAAATAAATATGTAAAATAAATAAAACTCTGACGTGGGATTGATGTAGGTAGGTCAGTGATGGTTCTAGCAACAAAGATGGTCTGTATAGGATGATGTCACACTCCACTCAAAGACTCACGTAATTAAAATCAAGTTGTCATCTCAACCGTCCCAGCTTTCACAACTAAAGATCGCTTAACGTGAAATGTTTTTATTTCAGTGGATTAAAACATCTTATTAATCAACATGGGATTTTAAAAGATTGTAAAATAAGTTCAAATAACTCATAGTCATTGTCTTCATCTAAATGTTATTTGTGCTGTTTAAGTCTAAGATAATTTAGTGAAGGTCTCATTAAGGTTTCTTTAAAAAATTAACAAAAATAAATAAATAAAAGAAATAAACCCAAAGGTTTACACATGAAGAGATGAGGCTGTCACACTGTATAACAGTCTTCTTGTGATTTATTTAAAAAGCAATCCAAAATATTTTACTTAGCTAAATTCTTTATTTATTTCATATAACTGGTAAGTCCAGTGATGGACAACATGTTTAAAATGTACAACGCTTTTGGTTAATTTTTTTAACACTGAATTCTTTATACTTCTTTTGCTCAGCTGGGTTATTATGCACAAATAAGGAGCTAATGCAGTAATAAGTAGAACCACAAAGAAGAGGTAGTGATGTTTTGTTGTTGACCTGACAGCATGATTGTTCATCAGTGACAGTTAGATCATTGTCAGTTTCCTATTATAGTTTATTTTATTACTGTAAACTTAGTCTTTATTTTATCGTCATAGACTAAATGTTCACAGATTCAGTACACTATCTGCTATTTATTTCGTGTAAAAAAGGAAACATGGCAGAAATAATCCATTCTAAACTTATTTAATTTTATGAGAATAATACTGGCTATTATAGAAATGTTAGCTATCAGCGTAATAATAATAATAATAATAATAATAATGCATTGAACTTATATAGCGCTTTTCAAGACCCCCAAAGACGCTTTCACACACTCTCACATTCACACACTGCTAGTGATGGTAAGCTACCATGAATCAATGTAATCCCCATAGTTTAAATCATTACAATAACCTTGATTTGTTTAAACTAGAAGCCATCACCTTATGTGAAGCGGAGAGCTACTTCATTGATATTGAGCCATATGAAGGGCTGCCTGGAGAATGCATTACTGATTTGGACTAGAATAGATCAGAGTTAAACAGAACTGCATGTACACTAAACATAATTTAATGGTTTTTGGAGAATTTTGTCATATTTAAACCTAAATGAATGCATTGTGAAAAATAAGATGGCACTAGATTGTTTTTAAATTTTGATTTTAGGTTGGTTGAGCTATTTCTATTTGAAGAAAAGGCCAGTGGGAACCTTAAATAGTTCCTGCAAGCACCAGATTGGTAATCCCTGTTTTAAACGAATCTGTCCCTGCAAAAAATAAGACTAAGTTAAAGTGAAAGCAGTTAACAATCATCACTTAATAGATTTCAAGAAAAGAATACACCTTATAATTATTCTAATTACCACCAAATGTGTTTGAAAGAGCAGGTTCGGTTTGGTGTCTCGGATTTCTGTACGAGTGAGCCCTCCTGTCTGCTGCTCCTCCTCTGCCTGTGCGTGCAGACCGTGTGGACCTGTGGACCCGCCCTACTTCTTTAAAATCCCACCCTAACTGGGACAAGTTACAGAACCAAGCCAAAGGGAGTATCTGATGACCCACTTCATTTTCCTACAAGGTGAAAGCTGTCATCGTTAGCTCGTTGCTCGGCCAGTGTCATGGAGCTGAACCGGCGGCTGCTGCTAGCTCACTGCGCGGCTCACGGCCTCTCTATAGCGGCTGGGCTGCTGGTGGTCGTTCCGATGGCCCTGAACGGTTCCGCTTTTAAAGGCCGCTGCGCCCTCTTCTCCACGGGCTATTGGAGGAACGAAAACCGGGCCGAGTTGACGGGGGAGCCTGGAGAGTTATCCCACCTAGTGGTGCGGCAGTGGGGCCCACCAGAAGCCTGCCAATTCGCCACATTTGTGGGTATTTTCACGGTGCTTTACGGGGCTGCGCAGGGCTGGAGGTGCCTCTTCTATCTGCACGGACGACACGACGAGTGAGTCTGCTGACACACACACACACACACACACACACACACACACACACACACACACACACACACACACACACACACACACACACACACACACACACACACGCCAGTATCTTTGCTGGTAAGATGATGTAGTTATAACTAACAAGAGTGCGTATGTTCTGTACCTAACCATATATTGTTTGATGCAGAACATATGCGCTCCTTTTTAATTATTGTGCAAACATGCATGCTGCATTACAGGATATTACCGCTCACCTAGCCCAATGATCCATTTTCTTAAATAGAAAAATAATTTTCATTAAAGTGCATGTAGCAATAACTGAGCAGCAGTCATGCAGGTAAAACTGTTGCTATCAGGATTAACAAACGGTGTGTGTGTGTGTGTGTGTGTGTGTGTGTGTGTGTGTGTGTGTGTGTGTGTGTGTGTGTGTGTGTGTGTGTGTGTGTGTGTGTGTGTGTGTGTGTGTCCGCCAGCACCCTGTTTTCATCCTTCCTCACGGTCCTGCTGAGTGTGTGTGTCCTCTTCCTGTCCGGAGGGGCGAGTGTTATTCTGTCTCTGGGATTCAGCTCCTGGTGTGACACAGTGACTGATGACAACACGCGACCCTACAGGTACAGCCGCCGAGTTACTGCTCGTCTCCAGAGTCACATGATCCGGGGAATTAGATGCATTTATTAATAAATGTGTCATGCTGTAATATTAAATGTTTTTACAGAATTGTATTGCTCATCTTTTGGCTCTTGCTTGTGTTCAGCTGTGCAGAGTCTCAGTCAGTCCCACTTTATCTGGACGTGAACACCTCTACTTTCTTCACAGATCTCAGTCTGGCTCAGGTAGGAGCAGATAGTAGAGAACTATTTACCGTCATCTCACTACAGAGTTCCCTTCTCCCAGAATAAAACCTGAAATCGTGTTTTTCCTGCATTTTAAGATTAACAGATGTGATTTGGTAATTAGGAAACAATTTTAGGGATTTTTAGTCTTTTCACAACCTAAACAATTTGCTTTACCTTAACAACTAGAGCACAACAACTACAGCAACTACAGTGAGATTTAGTTTTTATGTTGCAAGTGTTCAAGGGAAAAAATCTCCTTAATAAATAAATAAATAAAAAGATCTGAATGTATGGGATTCACACGAGTTAAGATAATTCACACAGAATTTATGTATTTTACCCACAAGAGCATGAATCAGTCACTCACTTTTGTTTCACTTTCTCCCAGAGTTTGCTCCTCCATCTCATTTACAACACCAACACACTGACTTGGCATTCAGAATAACATTTACTGCTATAATATACTGTGTGCAATATAAAGCACATGAATATTTAAAATGATTGCATACAATAAAAGTGAATTTTCATTGACTTAAGTTCTGGTCATAAGTTGGTGTAAAGCACTGGTACAGATCTCAATGTATCACCAGGATGCTTTTGTGGTTCTGAATCAGTGGTTGCTATGGGCAACATTAATTTCTTGTCGAGTTTTTATTTTTATTTTAAAAACTGACATATTGCTTACCTTTTTTTTTTTTAATAACAAAAGCGAGTGCTCTGATCCATTTTTAATGTGCTTCTTTGATCAGAGAGTTCACGTTCAGGTGTCGCCTCTTGCTCTGTGTCCTCAGGCGTCTCTGTGGTGTGTGACAGCTCTGTGGCTCGCTCAGTCCATCCTGGCCTTCCTGAGACTCTACCACTCCCACAACCAGCACATGACCGCACCTTGTCTGCACCGAGACAAGGAGCTGCTGCTCAGCTACAGCCTGTCTGACTGTGGCTCGGCCTCTCCTCCTCATCCTCCAGAAACTCCAACCATCTTTGTCTGACCCACAGAGTGTGAGGTAGAGGGAAAACGCCTTGCACTTAACTTCATTGTTGACATTTGAACCTCATTTTGTTCACCCAGACCACTCAACATGTCTGCTCTGTTAGTCTTATTTATATATATATATCACCTCTTTCAGCAGAATGTGGTCATTAATAGATTATTCATCAACTCATAAGCATCACAAACTGCAGGAGAAGAAATGCCAACGAAGTGTTGGCTGTAGTGAGGTGGTCTATGACTGGTGCGATCTGAAAAACCCACTAGTTATAAGTTTGCCCTCAAATATCAGGCAAGTTTTAGTCGTAATGCTGTTTTAAGCAATTTAATATCAGATCTATTCCCTTTAAAAAAACAAGTGACCTATAAACCAAAGTATTTTATTTAATCTTGTAGAAAAGGGACATTTGAAATTCAGATCACTTCCTGCCATTGTTACGTGAATTTAGCATTTTAATATACAATTTAAATCATGTTACACAACAAGCTGTACCATATTTATTTAATTTTTTTTTAATCTATAAGGGAATTTGATTGAAATTTGCAGCGAGATTGTTTTTAAGTAGGATTTAACCAAGATGGCAGAAACAGTGTGCTAGTGAGCGATAACTTGAACAAGACTTTTTAAATGTGAACAAAATATTCTAGAGCAGCCTCAGGTTGAGTTATGGTGATTTCGTAGATGTGTGAAAATGTTTTTGTTTAGTGGTTGAGTCATAAGATTTCTCTGACCAATACCACCAAAAATACAATAAACAAATAAACATATGAAAAAGCAGGCACTTTCAATGAAAGAGCCATTTACTAGAGTTTATTAGATGTTTTGGGAGGTGAAGTTCTTTGAAGTGTCTCCACAAGAAAATCAAAATGGTCTCCTTTGTGTTGTATCTGCTTTTCTGTTAGTAAACAGGGAAAACTCTTCAGATTGCAGGCTTGTTGATTTGAGATTATTACTGGATGGCCTGAGTCAAATTAGGGCCTCAGTCATCACTAACAGATAAAAGAATGACACGTCAAACCTTCCTGCACTTTAAGTGTCCAACACATTAAGATGAAAGAATTAGAACTTCAAAGGCAAATTCCACCCAAAATTGAAAATTTCTCTGTTGACATATTTCCCAGCATTAGATAAATGGGGGAAAACAATTTTGAACCAGCCGAGTCCTACTCCTGACCCGGTTGTTCTCCTTTAGCTTTAGCTTAGCATAAAACACAGCAAGTGAATGGATCCAACTAGCATTGTGATTTAAAAAAAAAGTCCTTAAAATCACTCAGTAGTGATCCAAATTCTGCTTGGTGACCTAAATAATCAGACTGACTGCAAGTGAAAATAATTAGTAGCATACAGGTGCTGGCCAGTAAATTAGAATATCATCAAAAGGTTGAAAATATTTCAGTAATTCCATTCAAAACGTGAAACTTGTACATTATATTCATGCAATGCACACAGACCAATGTATTTCCAATGTTCATTACATTTAAATTTGATATTCATAAGTGACAACTAATGAAAACTCCAAATTTGGTATCTCAAAAAATTAGAATATTCTGAAAAGGCTGAATATAGAAGACACCTGCTGCCACTCTAATCAGCTGATTTACTCAAAACACCTGCAAAGGCCTTTAAAAGGTCCCTCAGTCTTGTTTTGAAGGCACCACAATCATGGGGAAGACTTCTGACTTAACAGCTGTCCAAAAGACAATCATTGACACCTTGCACAAGGAGGGCAAGACACAAAAGGTGATTGCTAAAGAAGCTGGCTGTTCGCAGAGCTCTGTGTCCAAGCACATTAACAGACAGGCGAAGGGACGGAAAAAATGTGGTAGAAAAAAGTGTACAAGCTCTAGGGATAACCGCACCCTGCAGAGAATTGTGACGACAAACCCATTCAAAAATGTGGGGGAGATCCACAAAGAGTGGACTGCAGCTGGAGTCAGCGCTTCAAGAACCACCACGAGGAGACTCATGAAAGACATGGGATTCAGGTGTCGCATTCCGTGTGTCAAGCCACTCTTGAACAAGAAACAGCGCAAGAAGCGTCTCGCCTGGGCCAAGGACAAAAAGGACTGGACTGATGCTGAGTGGTCCAAAGTTATGTTTTCTGATGAAAGCAAGTTCTGCATTTCCTTTGGAAATCAAGGACCCAGAGTCTGGAGGAAGAGCGGAGAAGCACAGAATCCACGTTGCATGAGGTCCAGTGTAAAGTTTCCACCGTCAGTGATGGTGTGGGGTGCCATGTCATCTGCCGGTGTTGGCCCACTCTGTTTCCTGAGGTCCAGGGTCAATGCAGCCGTCTACCAGGAAGTTTTAGAGCACTTCATGCTTCCTGCTGCTGACCAACTTTATGGGGATGCAGACTTCACCTTTCAACAGGACTTGGCACCTGCACACAGTGCCAAAACCACCAGCACCTGGTTCAAGGACCATGGTATCCCTGTCCTTGATTGGCCAGCAAACTCGCCTGACCTTAACCCCATAGAAAATCTATGGGGTATTGTGAAGCGGAGGATGCAATACGCTAGACCCAACAATGCAGAGGAGCTGAAGACGACTATCAGAGCAACCTGGGCTCTCATAACACCTGAGCAGTGCCACAGACTGATCGAGTCCATGCCACGCCGCATTACTGCAGTTATTGAGGCAAAAGGAGCCCCGACTAAGTATTGAGTGCTATACATGCACATTATTTTCATGTTCATTCTTTTCAGTTGGCCAACATTAGAGAAACAAACATTTTTTCATTGGCCTTTAGAATATTCTAATTTTCTGAGATACCAGATTTGATGTTTTCATTGGTTGTCACCTATAAATATCAAAATTAAACGTAATAAACATCGGAAATACATTGGTCTGTGTGCATTGCATGAATATAATGTACAAGTTTCACGTTTTGAATGGAATTACTGAAATATTTTCAACCTTTTGATGATATTCTAATTTACTGGCCAGCACCTGTAAAGGAATCACAGGTGCCATTTTAGACTTGGGCCTACTTTATGACAAATCACAGCTGTAAGCTTCCACTGAAAGGTGCAAGCAGCCCCAAAGAAACCTGCTTCCTTACACACGTTATCAAACCAGCATAATACAAACACACACACACGCAATATGTCAACGAGAGGAAAATTATGATTTTGTGATTTGATTTGTTTTTTTGTTTATGTTTCTGACAGCGCTGTAAGCAATGTGAGTATTTAATACATTGTGTTTATATGTTTAAGATGCATGCTCATTTATATTTGTCCTTGAATGCATTTTGCACTTTTGTGTCCTCTTCAGGGAAAAACACACACCCATTTATGTTTTGAGTGTATTGTTGAGATGAAGCACTGAGATGCTTAGATTGTGAAAGCATGTGGTTGGCGTGCGACTGAGCCACCGTGTTCATGAAAGTGGCTCACTGTGTGAGCAGGACCGGAATGTTCTTTTGTGTGCAGGGAAAACACACCACTGGCCTTCTCTGCTCTCGTGACGGTTTTCATTATGATGCCGTTTGTGTGGATGGAGCTGCTCTGTGGGGCTGGATGAAGCTCTCAGATCCTCCGTAACGGGTAAATTCCCGATGAGAGATTTGTGTGGAACTCGGTGAGGTCAAAGAAACCAAAGGGAGTTTGCAACAATGATGAGTTTATTTAAATGACTAAGTTGTTAACTCTTTTTACCAGAACAGCCGTGATGAAACGCAAACAGCAGAGCTGGAAATCTGAAGTACAGAGAACATGTGGTTGTTACTTGAATTATATGAAATGCTTTTATTTTTTAACTACATGTGATTCTGCTTGACTTTGACCTATTTATGCTAATTTATTCTCATGTGTTTTTCCATTTTTCTTTATTTTAATAAAGAATTTCCACAAAAACAATGTTTGTCATAATTGATAAGGGATTTTGAAAATACTTACAACTTTGGTTAAATATGTTTGAACCTTTTTAACAATTTATTTTATTAAACTGTGTTATGGATTTTATCAATAACTCAATACCTGCAGTCGAAGAGGAAAGGAGACAATAAGCAGACAGTCACCGGATTGCAATCAGGGGCAGAGCACGAGGCAACTGCCCTGAGAGTTTATTATATAACATGAGATAAGAAAAGAACAGAGGTGTGTGTGTGTGTGTGTGTGTGTGTGTGTGTCTGAGTGAGAATTCTTTCAGGATTAATGATAAAGAAATAATGGATCATAAAATTTCCATAACATAATCCCTCCTGTTTATCCAAATAGGATAACCAAACAAAAAGAAAACAACAAAACAAAGAAAATAATAAAGAACAAATGAAATAATAAAACACGATAAGGCAAACACAACTGACAATAACATCAAACGGCAGTTTAAAGAGGTACAAGTGAAATAATGGAAATCAGTTAAATCAACACCATCATAAGAAGAGCTATTTCATACATATTGATGTGAATTTACTGTGACGCAACAATTCTACAGTTTATAGCAGTTCCTGTAAAGAGATTAGGAAGGATTAGCAAAACCATATAATATATCGTAAACATCAGTAGAGTTTACTGAAACATCAGATGAATTAAAGCTTCAGGTCACACACGGCTTTTTCTGTGAATGAGGAAAAATGAACAGGTAGTATCAATTTATGCAGCTCTAACTAGCTGAGGCAAACCAGGCATTTTTCATCAAAGAGCTTGTCCATGGACTGAGAGTCCCAGTTGAAGAATAGTTTGGAAGGTTAGAGTCCTCTCCGTTGATCAGGATGGTTTCAGTCTTAAGTTGATGAGTTCCTTGAAGTCCAGGTCTGGAATGCAAGAATGGAGTTTGGGATGTGAAAGTGCATAGTTCAACTTCTCAATAGGAAGGTGTCAGGGTCGTTCCATGGCATGCTGAGGTGGTTGTCCACCTGTCAGGGAGCTGATCTTGTCCCCGAAAAATCCTTCTGGTCCTTTGACCGTGAAACCAGGTTGGAGATTGGGTGCAGGTGACTGAAGTAGTTATCCTTTTCCAGTGTCTCTTCTTCGATGTCTCCTGTCGTAGTTGAGTCCAGGGGGTCTTCAGCCAAGGTGGGTGCAGGCTACGTTGTCATGTAGGTGTGTGGTCAGGGAGGAGGAGCCCCAATCTGTCATTTCAGTTCCAGTACTCCCGTCAGATGCTGCTGTCCCAGTCGTTCCGTCAGGTGCTGAGAGGCAGCCCAAGTGCAGGGCCATGAACGTGAGCGCCAACATCAACAATGTGGTGAATCCAGCAAGCTTGAAGCAGATATTCATCTTTACCGGGGTTGAGACATGAGTACCTATTGTTACCATCACATCTTTGAAACCCGGACTTCGTTGCACTCTAATAGCGGTCAGTTGATGCTGTTGAGCTTGCAGTGGGATAGATGAATCCAAGATGGTCTCTCAGCAATCTTCACAGCAGTAGGAGTGGTGTGGAGTACTTGGAATGGACCTTCTCACCTCTGGCTGCCCCAATTGTCTTGTTTCAGCACCTTCATCAGAACCCAATTTCCTGGATTCACGACCTGTGGGCGAAAAAGCACAAGAAAATTTTGGGAGATCACTGTTGATTTAGACTTGTTTTCAGCAAAAATTCTTATCATCCAATATTTAAAGTATTTTCTCTGTCGCTCTGGACTCCAGTTATTCTCATCCACAGTTGTAATAACAAAGGTTCTTTCAGCTCAAATTCAAGGTCTCAACATCCAGCAGTTACCTCATTCACAAATATGTTCTTTTTACTTATCTTATAACAGAGGCACACAGGTGGGTGCATAGCACCTTGCTACTCGTTAATGCATCATTTTTCTATGTAGGGTCCATTTCATTTAGACTGCAATATTGTGAGAGTTTGTGTAGGAAAATCGTTATCAGCCGTCCGACCTCTTGAGACATGAGATAGCTCATGGCTCACCAGAGCTAAAGAGGCATAAAAAGGATATAAGCAAAACTGGTCAGATGCCGGCAAGCGTTTTTCTGCTTAGGAAAATCCTGAGAGAAGGAAAGAAAACATGGCAGAGGAGCCAACATCAGCTTTGCATAATGAATTTGACCAATAACCACTAACTTTTCTTGCACAAGGGAAGCAGTGTATTGTTTCACCAAACAATAGAACAGCACGCGATGCCATTTGTTGGAATATAACTCTCACTTGTGGTACAAAATTAAAACCAACAAAAAAAAGCACAGTCATATTACTGAATAAACGACTAAAAACATCAAACACAACCCTGCAAAAAAAAAAAAAAAAACGCACAATAAAGAACATAAAACACAACCCTGCAAAAAAATACCCCAACAAAACGCACAATAAAGAACATAAAACTTGAAAGCTGGCTACCCATAATGCACGCTGGAGCCACATGCGGTTCTTTCATCCATCTGATGTGGTCGGGGGGCTGCCAGAGATTTTGAACTCTTGTGAATGTTTTTGAACCTCGATTAATTTTGGATATTTGTCTGGATTACTCACCTTAGGTTGGCTTCTCTGGATTTCCATCCAAACCTGCAAGGATCTCTCACCGGCTCGCTTCCTGGTTCACCATCACCCGCTTGGCCGACCCGTTCTCCACCATGTCTCCGCTCCCTCTCCAACTCCACACGCCCCTCTCGGAAACATCATCTCTCACCATCTCGGACTGCACATTATTCATTCCTGGACAATACCCCGGCTCATCCCCTCCCTGGCTCTCCTGAGTCTCCGTACCGTAAGTTCCTCCTACAACACCCCACTTTGGACTACAAATCCCAATACTCACCTCTGCTGCTTTCCCTCTAGACGCCGCTTCCTGTTTCCCCATCCGCTGGACTTCCAGTGCGCCCTTAGTTCTCCATTTTAATAAAAGATAATTATTATTTCCTTTAAATTGTCTCCGTCTCCTGAATCTGCATGTCTTGGGTTAGACATTTGCCCCAGAACATGACAATATTTTATTTTACTGCATTCATTTTAAACCTGAACAGGACCAACGGTTGACAGGTCACCTGCTAAGATGTCTCTATAGGAGCTTTCTGAGCTGAAGAGGATGTGAGATTCTGGACTGTTCCTCAGGCAGGCTCATGGATGCATCGCCACGTTGGAGACAGTGCTATTCAGCCAAAGTTTCATAATCGGGGAACATTTTCTAAGTGACAAGTCTCTCTGAGAGACAGGGTTTGGGAAACACTCGCTTCAGTGAGAGGAACCTCCCCGCATGGCTCTGGTTCTGCATTGCGCTCCAAGCCCCCGATCTACACATCTTCAGCTCGTTGTCTATCTTGTGTGTGTGTGCTGACAGTGAGCTGCGCGGAGCTCAGTGTCCAGCTCAGATGTTCTGATGGGAATCTTTTCTTGATTGATGTAGCTACATCCGCGATGTGCGTAACGATAAAAATATCAGCGCATCTGCAGCCTTGAGGTTTCTCCGTCAAAATAAGTGATCAAATATGGGAAATTTCATTGTGAATCCTGTCATTTAACTGTTTTTCCTTCTTGTGAAGATTGTTGCAAACAGGAACATTAAACTTGATTAACACCAGAGCCATTCGCACTATGCCATTGTCTCTATCTCTGTAAATGAGGCTAAAACAAATTGATCGGATCCTTTTCTTACCTTTTCAACAATGTTTAATGTAAAGTTTAGTTCAGCACAAAGTTTAATTACAACAGTCCAACGAGACAGAACCTGGATTTGTATTCTGAACAGTTTAAACATGTTTTAAAAGGAGATGTGTGTGACGCGTCAAAAACCGTCACCTGCTCAACATTAAAACCACTAACAGGGTGAAAAATATCTAAGTACTGTCGACACAGATGGGCTACAAGTTCTCGGTCAATTTTATACAAACTGTTTTATTATCTTCTGTTGAAAGATAACTTTAAGTATTGGTTGCTGTCACCTGTTGTGATCGGTTAAAGCAGCTCTCGGTTGTCTTAGGGTAGGGCCCGCCCACAACGCCGCAGCTGCTGCGGCTCCCAGTGTTTTCTTTACTGTGGGAAACGGGTAATAATAGCTCTTTGATGGGAACAGGTTGCCGACCCCTTGTTCTACAGCGTGATCAACAATGGCGGGAGGAGTGAGAGATGTGTTTTCTAGCTGGAAATATAGTCACTATTTTGAGTTTGTATCAGCTAAAGATGAAAATATTAAGGTTTGTTGTACACTCTGTGCTGTCTCTGTGTGTTTTATTTTTTATGAATACTATTTATTTTAAGTGAGGACAAGAAAGACTGTTTTTATTTTATTTTTATACAAACATGCATTATGTCAGGCAATAGGTTTTAAGTTCAACTTAAAATGTAAGAAGATACGTTGTTGACATTACTGTTAAAAAGCATTTGCAATAAAGTGAGTGTTGGTAAAACCAAATCAAATCAAATCAACTTTATTTATAGAGCACTTTCACATGGCCAGAATGGACAAACAAAGCACTGTACATCAATAAAATGCCACACAATAGGACAGAGATATGACCATTAAAATACATTAATAAATCCATTAAAATACACTAAAAAATCCCTGTAAAATACCGTAATAAATCCTATAAAAATGCAATAAGAAATCCATTTTAAAAAAACCTGAGTGCCAGTTCACAGTCCATATCCGGCCTACTTCCCCCAACTTCAACGTCCAAAAGCCAGCGAGAACAGATGTGTTTTCAGTCTTCCTTTAAAGGTTTCTAATGACTTGGCCTGTTTTACATCAGCTGGCAGCTCATTCCAGAGACTTGGTCCAAGTACTGACCAAGTTGTAGTTTTCATGTTGAGGCAGTGGAGAGTGTTTTTGGTACAAGATGAAAGTAACTAATAAAGTACCTCATAATCTAACTTAGTTACTTTTTAAATGAATGAATCAGTAAAGTAACTAAGTTACTTTTGGAAGGAGTAATCAGTAGTCAGTAATCAGATTACTATTTCAAGGTAACTGTTGCAACACTGGTCGTGTGCAGAATGTCAACAGAGGCAGCCGAAACCCACAAGGCAGCACAAAACAATGCAAAAGTTGGATCTCGCATAACAAGTCTCCTCTAAAAGCCAAAAATACCCATCCCAAGGAACTTACAATTACCAGGTTACATAAGCAGGGGGCAGAGTCATGCAGCATAGTGTGCATAAAACAAACAAAACAAACTAACAAAATGCCTTAAAGCTTATTTCCGGAGTATTTCTCTTATCCGATGGCACCATCTATTGGCTGACAAGCATATCACACAAAAAGTCTATTTCTCTGTTTTTTGTTTTAGATGGCGACTTCACGTTTCTGTTTATAAATGTGCTTCTGTAGCCGACAAACAGAGCTAAAACACGTTGTTTTACGAGTATTATTCTCATGTCATGTTTTGTTCTCATATATTTTTATTTTAGAGACTTACTTGTCTGTGAAAAGTTCATTAACTCTGCATCAGGCGAGGTATTCCTTAAATTTGAAGCATCTAAGCGGTAGTCTAACGCTATTGGTTTGTTCTGGTCGGCACTCAGTTTCCTGTTGCACGGAGCTCTGTGGGGCAGGGGTGTGATTAGCAAAAAAAAAGACATATTGCTTACATTATATCACAGTACATGATGAGACAATCACTTTTACGGATTTCTGACCAATCATATGTGGCAAGGTGGAGAAATGAGGGCACGGGCGGGATTCGATCCCCAGACTCCCGGGTGAGAGTCATACGCTCTAACCAGTCAGCCAAAGGGACATCTCCTTGGCCAAGTAGCCAGGGCGCATGATCAATCGGGACATTGTGACAGGATGCTCACACTGCCACATCTTCCCCCCTCTTTCCACAAGCACGTCCTCGTGCTCCCGCGCAGGGTGCCACAAACTTCACATCCATGGACCTACTTGACAGTACTACATGGATCCTGCCAACAACGCCAAATGTGGCAAGGTGGATAAACGAGGGCCCGGGCGGGATTCGATCCCCAGACTCCCGGGTGAGAGTCATACGCTCTAACCAGTCAGCCAAAGGGACATCCCCTTGGCCAAGTAGCCAGGGCGCATGATCAATCGGGACATTGTGACAGGATGCTCACACTGTCACACATACATCATTTCTGAAAGGTGAAAACTCCAGAAAGCAGCTTTGTCACTTCCACTTCCGGTCGGTAACAAGATGGCGCCTGTGCTTGGCTTAGCCGCAGTCATCGGCCACTTTTTCAAACTTTTCTCCACTAACCTCCTCTTTTCCACCTTGCTCCTGTCTGCGATCCTCTTCAGTAGTGTCCCTGCTACCATCTCCTATGATTGCCAGACTCTTTTGTCCTTCCGTTCGTTCACGATCGCCCAAGATGCACCGAGGACGTACCATCCTGTTTGTATATCTGAGTGGAGCACTGGCACGGAGCCAAACAACGGTCCCAAGCTGCATGCCTCCAGCAATGTTTATCCGGTCCCGGGAAAACGTCGGAGGAAAAGAGGTAAACGAGCAGGAATCCAGGTGAGAATAAGACTTCTCTTAAAGTGTGGTTTATCTAGTGAATATCGGCGTGATCTTCTAGCTTCTCTTCTTTTCTTTGGTGACTCGAGCGCCATTTCCGCATTCCCGCCAGGCCGCGTTGCAGCGTGGTTCATCCGTCCAAGTTTTTTAAGGTCGGTTTATCCTCATTCCTCAGTGGTTTCTCCTCCTGTTCCCTCCATAAGTATTTTTTATAAACACCGTGGATCTAACCCTGCTAATTTACGCTCACTAACTCCAGCTGTTTCTGTAGTTTCTGATTCCTCCACCTCACTCAGCATGGCTCTATTAAATACCTGCTCTGTTAACAATAAGTCCTTCCTGCTCAATGATCTAATTCTCTCTAAAAGCCTGGATTTTCTGTTTCTGACTGAAGTTTGGCAGCAAACATCTGATTATTCTGGTCTGATTGAACTCTGCCTGAGTGGTTATTCTTTTCTTAGCCAGCCCCGGGGTTCTGGTCGTGGTGGAGGCCTAGCTGTTGTTTTCAGGGACCATCTTCCATGTAGCTCTACAACCTCTGGTCACTTTGCTTCCTTTGAACTGCAGCTGATTAAAGTCGGGTGTAAGGACCCATTCTACTGTGCTGTGGTCTATCGTCCACCTGGTCCAAATAGTTATTTCCTTCAGGAGTTTAGTGACTTTCTATCCTCCACTGTGAAGCTGTCCAGACTGGTGATTGTTGGTGATTTTAACATTCACGTTGATGATCCCTCTGATCACTTTGCCATGAATTTCTCCAGCCTTATGTACACCTTCGGCTTTACTCAGCATGTTTCTGGCCCCACACACACCAGGGGGCACACTCTAGACCTTGTTTTTACCCTGAGTCTAAATTCTGACAGTGTTTGTCCTGAGGATGTTTATATTTCGGATCACCATTGCATTTTCTTTAACTTGTCAGTTTCTGCGTCCCCACCTCCTGCTCGCCGTATGGTTAGTTCTCGTTTTCTTAATGAGAGCACAGCT